ATATACTACAAGGACAATCAAAGATACTTAGAATTGTCCGACACATTATAAAATATTCAAAAATCAGCAATTTAATCACGCCGAGAAACAAGAACAACGAGAGTGAAATTTAAAAAAAAAAAGAAAAAAAAAAGAAAGAAAAAAAACTTAGTTAAACTAATTAAGTAATGATGCATAGAAGAGAAGTAACTGAAGGTTTTCGAGCTCGTGGAATGATCTCAAATTGCATAAAGGACAAAGACGAAGAGCTATCGTTCTTCCGGAATATTCAAAATCGCGAGAAAGAGCAAGCTGCTAGCCTTCTTCAGCCCGTTTCCGAAGAGTTTGAAGCTAATGGTGAGTCCTAATTATTTGATAGCTCGTGTCAAATACACGCGCGTACCCAAACGTAGACACATTGTTTTTTTCTTACAAATAAGTGTGGTGAAGTGTAGGGAACTATGGGCTCTATAGAATGGAATCGGGAGGAAGAAAAGGGGCGGGATTTGATAGTGGAAAAAATGACTACAACTGGTAAATCTATGCTATATATATATATATATATATATATATATATATATATATATATATATATATATATATATATATATATGTGTGTGTTATATTATTTTGGAAATATTGAAATTAATTAACAATTTTGTATATAAGCAATATTTAAATTGATGTTTGGTTAAATATTTTTTTTCATTTTTCACATTGTTGAAGGCTAAAAACACCGCCGGCAACGCCTTTATTTCCGTCACTTGAGATGGAAACAAATGGCCAAGAATTAGTCATTCAGAGGGAAATACCAATCCTCCAGCCTCTTTCAAGGGTATGTTTTCGAATTATTATGTATAATCATAAACATTTTTTAAATAAGAAAATTATTTTTTCGACTTTTGATCAAGTTTATTTCATGGTAATCATTGTAGTATAAATATTGGCAAACACCCTATAATTCATTTTCTTAAGCAAATTACGACTAAAACCTCATCGTTTAGGTTGTTGCATGTTAAAGAAAGGCGTCATAACTCATAAGAGTTTTCTGTTATTATAATATTAATAACACGAAGAATCTTTTAAAATTTTGATAAAAATACAGGAGTATTAAATGCAATAAATTCGGTGATATGTTGTTATACTTCACCAGGTGTAACATCTAATCAACGTAGATTCAATCGCCATTCGAAAAAAAATATATAAATATATACCAACATCTAAACCAATTATATGTACTACATGCAGTTTGCAGGAAATTCACAAGGCACAAAAACAAGTAGCATACCAATATCTCCAAAACCTAAGCCAAAACTTCCGCAACGACACAAGACACCGAACGCTAGGCCAAGTATATCACCGTCATTCGAAAACAAGAACATGAAAAGCCCACCAATTATAAATCAAAAAAAGTCAACCCCAATTAAGTCAACCCTGAATGAAAAAATCCACCCGAACTTCCCATCATCATCATCAAACCTTTCAAAAAATACGACGACCATCGAAACAAATTCAAGCACCAACAACCTCAAAAACAGAGGATTATCAGACAACACACCGCCTAATAATCTAAGAACAACGGCCAATCATAGGCCAGCATCAACAACTCGTGGAAGATCAACGAATCAGAATCTTCCGACGGGGCCACAAAAACAGGATACGAATTCGAACATGAGAAGACAATCGTGCTCTCCTAGTGTGACACGAGGTAGAAAAGTAGTTGACTCGGATAATAAAAGTCAACAAGAAGTTGGAAATCGAGGAGGAGGAGGAGGACAAGTATTGGGGAGTAGAATGGTGGATAGGTTTATGAATGCGAGAATTAATTCGAGTGGCGAAGAAAGACAGAATGCAAAGGTTAAGGTGAATGAGAGCTCTGGTTTTGGAAGATTGATGTTGAAAACTTCATTGGACATGGCTATCAAACACATGGTACTTATATTTGTTCTTGTACAAGTTTTTCATTGTTTATTATTATTATTATTATTATTATTATTATTATTATTATTATTATTATTATTATTATTATTATTATTATTATTATTATTATTATTATTATTATTATTCCATCAAGTTATGAAGATTGTTGATTAAAGTGTTGGATTCGCCACTAGTGACATACATAAATATTCGTTTAAGTTTATAATATATGTTCGTAAGTACAAGTTTGATGTATAAATAACATTAAAAAGAGGAACTCTAGCTAGCTCCATTTATGCTCATGGATTCGTCGATCGTGTGAACTGCAGGAGTTTCGAAAAGACTCGAGTATTGATACTCGTAAGCATGGTATTGTGCAAGGAAGAAAATCGTAACATTTCAAGGAATTCTGGGAATGCTGCTAAAATCTGAAGCACTTCATTCTAAATAAGAAAACTGTTTTATGTATGTATTAGTTGAAGATATGAAATTTTGTTGGATGTAAGTTCTGCAACTTGGGATTCAAAAATAGAATACATAAATGATTATTTGGTCCAATAAGTTTTCCTTATGCGAGAGTTAGTCCCACTATGTTTCAAAGAGCTAATTGCATAAAACCCCCTGTGTAATTTCGAATTATCAAAAAAGTCCTCGTGTTAAAAATATTAGCAAGGACCCCCCTATATTTTGTTTTACGAAGCACATCGCTCCTTAATTCGAAATTGATGGTTGACTTGTATGCAATGACTAAAATATCCCTAATAGTTTTTAGTGATATTTCAATTTTAAACAATAAAAAGAAAAAAAAATATCACACAAATAAGCAAACCTGCATCTTCTCTCCGACAATGGTGTGCGGAGATTTTTTTGGTTTCTTTCGGATAGAAAGAAAAAAGTGCAGCAAAACAGTTTTCGGTGGACGGAAATTGTGGATTCAGAAACTATAGTAGTGGTGGTGGCATTCAACGGCAGCGGCGGCAGTGTGGTGGATCCGGAGAGTCGGCTTCGAGTTTGGGTGGAGTAGCTGTGGAGTGACGGCGAATATTCTTCGAGTTTGACATTCTTCTTCTTCTTCTTCCTCGGTATACGACTCAAGATTCACAAATTAGAAAAAAAATGCTATGGAAATTGGAAGAAAATGCTTTGAAGAATGTTTGTATTTTTCTTGGGTTTTGGCAGGGATGTGCCGAAAACGCTTGAGACGCCATTTTTCTTCCCTTTTGTTTTCTTGGATTTGGAATATGAATGAACATCATGCTCAGATTGGGTTTGGTTGATGGGTTTTGCTGGAAAAAAAATCATGGTGAAAAAGTGGAGGGTTGTTCTTGAGGTTGGAGAAGAGGGCTTATTTGAATATATAAAGGACTCAATTGAAAATTTTAAAAACTTCATTTTGGTGCTTATAAAATTTATGGGGGCATTTTGGTATTTTTGTGTCAAAAAAACGAACCCCCAGTCGCATTCATGGCAAGTGAAGCACACGGCCAGCCCTCAGGGACCTTATTGCCTTTGATTATTTTTCGTAGGGGGGTATTTGCTAATTGTTTTAACACAAGGTCTTTTTCAGCAATTCGAGATTACACAGGGGTGGTGTTTGCAAAAAACCCATGTTTCAAATGTAAGGTTCCGGTCCACTAACTTACCAAAAATCAAAATTTGGTCCACCAACCTACTATTGCAGGTTACCTTAACTTGCTAGATTGAAATATCAAAAGAGTGTAAATATATTTCACGGTAAATTACAAGAAATTCTCTGAACTAAGATCAAACTATAAATAGATTTTAAAAAAAAAAAGAAAAAAAAAAAACTCGCCTCCTTAAAGTTTGTGTCGTCTTACATTGTACTTCCCCAGTCACGATATGAATTGTGACCAATTTTTTTTTGATTCGATGGTTAGTTGTAATAGTACTATTTCACGAGGGTGTAATTGTAATATTTTTAAAAAAAATAAAATATGAGCGTTTTGTACTACTAGTAGTTTTGTATGAGGAGTTTTACTGCAATGTTTATATTTAAGAGAGTTTTAATTGTGATATTTGGAATGTTTAATCGTATTACTGATGTAGTATAAATTATTTTAATTCAAAAAATCGAAGCCCAACCCTTCTTCAAGCTTGATTTCGAATTGTCGATTTTTTTTTTTTTTTTTTTTAGCTATTTGCAGTTTGGGGTTTTTTGATTTTTTTGGAAAGTTTTGGGGGGTTTTGTGAAAAACCGCAAATAGCAATTTTGTAACCGTAAATAGCATTTCATAATAAATATAATAATAATGATGTTAAAAATATCACCGAATTATTCTCCACTACATGGCATGACACCGGGAAATTTTATGCTACACCTAGTGAATATAACCAGGTACCTAATTAATAAGATTTCCACTACGGGTTCTGTTATGGCCCAATGAGTTTTAGAAATATAATTATAAAATAAATAAAAAAAGACACATGTCAAGAAAAGAGCCACCCGGTGAAAATCACCGGGTGTAGCATCGTATTCCCCGCATGACACCTTCGGCTCATCCATTCCGCCCGTTCGTCCAGACGTGGTGCCTTTTCTCATTATCATCTACCGCCCTTTCTTTCCTCCCGGCTATTCACGCATGAAGATTGTTGTATGTATGCTTGACTTAGATTACGACGAATGGTGAATTACCAAAAACCCCCAATTAAAGTATAATTTACAATTTTCATCCCTCAAACTTGTTTTGATTTCACATTTGGTCCCTCATATTCACAAAAAACACATTTGGTCCCTCATGTTTCAAAAATTCAACGCTTTTAGTCGTTTTCGTCAATTTCCCGTTAAAACTAATGGAATCGAACGTGTTCCCATCACTACCATAACTGACAGACTAACGCTAAATTGACGAAAATGACCAAAAGTGTCAAATGATTGAAACATGAGGGACCCAATGTGTTTTTTGTGAATATGAGGGACCAAATGTGTAATCAGAGCAAACTTGAGGGATGAAAACTGTAAATTTCCCGATAATTTAGAGGAATTTTTTGATAATTAGACTTTAATTCGGGCTCTTTGGTAATTCACCATTCGTCGTAATCTAAGTTAATCACAGAGTAAAAAAATATAAGCTGAACTACAAATGGAGCCGCCGCCGCCACCACCGCCGCCGTCGTCGCCGGGAGTTTCACCGATCAAATTGAAAGAATGCATGGAAGAGCTGCTGAAGTTCACTCTCCTCTCATCCATACAAGGAAAACTCCAAACCGGCCTCTCCGATGAATACTGCGACGGCCTTCTCAGACACGATCCATCGAACCTCCTCCCAATTACCAACGGTAATTTTAACACGCTGCCCTAATTTTCACAAATTACTTCATGGTTGTAACATTCCATCCGCAAATTGTTGTACTCTTCGCATAGACAGTTGTACCTTGGCGACTTCATTTTGATTATTTTGTTAATTGTTTTGACCGTTTTCCCCACTGCCTTTCAAGTTTCTATGTGATTAGGTGATTTTCTGTTTTTTTTTTTCATAATTTTAGGCAAATTGCACATCAACCCCGTAAATTTCTAATTTTTGCACTTTACCGCGGCAAAAATTTTATAAGTGAATGCTCGTCCCTTCAAAATGTTATTCTTGTTGCACATTGCCCCGGTAGCAAAACTCAGATGGATTATTCATCGAAATTGAGTATTTTTGTTGCACGTTGCCCCTTTAAAATGTTGTTTTTGTTGCACAATGCCCTCCATAACTTAGTTTATGTGGCAAAGTGCAAGTGTGCAACCAAAATAATATTTTGAAGGGGGAGTATTCCTTTTTCGAATTTTTAGGGGGGAAAGTACGAAAATGGGAAATTTATAGGGGGGTGAAGTACATTTTCTCCTAATTTTATGTTCCGTGAACCGATTTTCCAATTTGTAGTGCTATTTAGGGAAAATTACATTTTTCGTCCTCATACTTTACCCACTTTTTCAAAACTGTCCCTAAACATTTTGGAGTTACAATAGTAGTCCTTAATCATGTCATTTTTTGACAGAATTGGTCCGCCGTTAATTTTTGCGGTTAAGTTGGATGGAAAATGACATGTGCCTCTCACATACCTTCAATTTACAACACTACATGAAAATGGACTTTCAACAACACGCATTGCGTCTTGTTAAAACATATTTTTCATAATTAAAACTTGATTGAAATTCGAAATTATATAACATCCAAAAAAGCAAAATCGATATATATTGTTTTAAAATATTTTGAGAAATAAATTGAAACATTGTTTAAAAAAATGAAATATTGCTTTCAAAATTAAGATTTTCGGAATTCAAATGAAAACATTCTTTCAAAATAAAATAAAAATTCGATCCGAATAGGTGGGATAAGAAACATCCATTTCAATCTTCACCCTAATTTAATAATGTAAAACTCGATATATTATTTCCAAATATTTTTAGAAGTATTGTATAAAATAATAATATAATGTTTAAAACGGGAATTTCTTGAATCCAAATGAAAATTATTGTTTTAAATAAAATAAAAATCTGATCGTAATAGGCGGAGTAAGAAAACTCCGTTCCAAATTTCACCCTTATGTAGTAATCTAAAACTCGATATTTTTTTTTCAAAATAAATTCAGAAATATTGTTTACAAAATCATAATATTGTCTAAAGATATAAGTTAAAATCGGAATTTTTGGAAATTGAATGAAAATATTATTTTAAAATAAAATAAAAATTCGATCAAAATAGGCAGCATAAGAAAACTCCTTTCCAATTTTCACTCATATTGAATGATTTAAAACTCGACATATTGTCTCACAATTGGGATTTTTGGAATTGACTAGAGGTGAAAATTGGAATGGATATTTCTAATTCCCCAATTTCTATCGGGTTTTTTTTATTTTGGTTAGAAACGATATATTTTAATTGAATTCCCAAAATGCCGATTTTGGAACAATATTTTAAAATTTTAAACTATATTTTGATTTTTTAAACAATATTTCCGGAATGAGTTGATTTTTTTGGAATTTACGTGATTTCGTTTTTATATTAATTAATTAAAAATAATAATTAAAAAAAAATATGTTTTAACAAGATGCAATGCGTGTTGTTGAAAGTCCATTTTCATGTAGTGTTGTAAATTAAAGGCATGTGAGAGGCACATGCCATTTTCCATCCAACTTAACGGCAAAAATTAACGGCGGACCAATTCTGTCAAAAAATGACATGATTAAGGACTACTATTGTAACTCCAAAATGTTTAGGGACAGTTTTGGAAAAGTGAGTAAAGTATGAGGACGAAAAATGTAATTTTCTCTGCTATTTACATACATGTACTCATATATGAGAATACGATTTAGCTTATATGTGGTCATGTGAACTTGCCAGTATATACAATAGAGAAAACGCTTCTTGTTTTTGCAGCCAAGATTTCGACATTTTGTGTCAAAAATTAAATTTCGTATTTGATTTGATTCCAGAGCTTCATTTTTCACTACGCCATGGTTTAATATTATTGGAGCCGTTCATTTACTAATAGATTAGTGCCTAATTTTTGCAGAAACTTGTAAAGGAGTTCCATCGTATCCATTATATAAGCGCGTAGCGTCATCTCTTTACGAGTCTATTGTTGGTCGAAAACCTACACGCAAGTGCACGTATCGTACAAGTAATATAGTGGACTAAAAGTCCGGATATCGAACCCACAGGGAATATTTAATTATCTAATCCTAGACGCTAAATTCTACCAATTATTATCAAGCCCACCCTACACAGTCGAAAAAGGATTAATAAACCAAATTAAACTAAAGCAATTAAAAACACAAAAACAAGAAAGCAATTAAAAATACGAAGATTAATCAGAGTAAACGAGCCTAGGATTTTATTCTTCCCCCTATGTGATTATTACTCCCCCAATTCTTTCAATTATGCAAGCAATTAACCCGGATTATTAACCTGAGATGCTAAAATAATCATAACCCGCTTCCGCGTGTATTACAATTCTAATACTCTAGATTCAATTACTATATTCCTATGCAATTAATTCTAGAACAAAGCATTAAGCACAAATCTCAATAATGGCTACCCAAGAGATTAACTATATTCCTATGTTAATACCACAAAGGCTCTTCTACCACAGTTCTAATTATTAACCCGATCTTCCGATTCATGCGATTAACAATAACATAAAAGCGCATAAAGTGGCCAGTTTCATGTACTTAATAAAACAAGTAGAAGAAATAATCCGGAATTAAAACTTGCATAAAATCATAGAAAAGGGTTCATAAATCCCACATAGGGTTCCAAATAAAATCCTAGAAATAAGAAATTTAGCTACTCGTAGTTCTTATGATAAAGAAAATAAAATAAATAAATTAAATAAGAAAAACTATGCTTGAATCTTCGTTGATCTTCCTTGCTCTTGAATTTGCGTAAAAAGATTGATCCCCAATTGTGTGCTTGGCTTGGTCTTATATAGGGTGAAAAACTTGAGGAAGAAGGCAGTTTCCTTGTGCAATTAAAATCCCTTTACTGCGCAACTTCGGGGTATGGGACGGGGGTCCCATAATTTGCCCTAAAACTGGGACGGGGGTCCGAGCCTTGTTTCTTCAGAATTTTGATATTTTCACTTTTGACCCATATTTTCGCCAAAATTGCAGTTTTGACCCCATACTTTTCCAATTCTTCAATTTGTACCTAAAATACAATAAATCAACTTTTTAAGCACCAATTATCGTTAAAACACACCAAAAGCTCAAATAAAAAGTTACGATAAAGTGTAAAAATATACACTTAACACACCCCCAAACTTGAACTTTTGCTTGTCCTCAAGCAAAATCTACCAATAAGCAAATAACACAACTATTACATCTTATCACATAGATCAATGATCAACTTCACGTTTTCAGAACTTGTAATTATAATGACAATTCTTAGGCATTCGCAAGCTCAAAATTCAACAACACTTAGTCACTCACCATTACCAAAAACCACAAATCATACAATTGCTTCAAGTATCCAATATTTGCAAGTTAAAAATAGAGAAAATTTATACTTACATGCATATGCTTGACTCCAAATACTCACCAAATTATTCTACTCTACTAATATCGAACATTAAGCTATTGGGATCATTGGGGCTTTGTGACTTTCAATTGTTAGGCTCTTTGGTTCGAGGTAGGAAATATGGGTATATGTGGCTATTCTTCTTGAATTTAGGTGATTACGCCAAAATTTGAAAGATAGGCGCTTGAAACAATGAATTCACCTCAACGGACTCTAATAAACTCGATTCTCAAAAGTTCAAAAGTCTCCACTTTTGCTTTTGAGGCAATGGATCGAGTTTTCAAAAATAATTCAACAACTAGTCCTTATTTCTCCCTTCTAGTCTCTTCTTCTTCTTTTTCTTTTTTTTTCTTTTTTTTTTTCTTTTTATTTTTATTTTTTTTATATATATATATAGAAGCATAGATATTTGTCTTCTTTTTTTTTTTTTTTTTTTTTCGAAGAAGAAGAAGGACCTTATAAAAATTTTCGACCGAACTCCAAGGGGTAATTTTTTTTTCAAGAGTCTCCACTTTTCTACCTTATACACATGGCTAAAAGAAAGAACACCTTTTCTCCGAGGCTCAAATCAAGGTTCTAAGGAATTTCGATAAAAAGGTCGGCTTGAAAGGCTCAAACGGTTCAAAGAAGGCCCAAATCATATCCCAAATCACTCACTACTCAATACTTCGTATCATAAATTTCCTAAGTTGAGTTTTAAAACCGAACATAGCATGATCTAGCACAAATTAATTCCAAATTTAAAATACAAAACATTCAACCAAAGCAATGCACAAAGTGTGATTCCTAGAAATAATTCGCTTCTAAGTTCCGTTGAATCGAAAGCTAAACAAACATCAAATAATTATCACACAAAACAAGCAATCTCATCATCAAACATTGATCATCTCTCATCATCACAAATCATCGATGCATTCAACTCAAGCAATTTTTTTTTTTTTTTTTTTTTTTAATATTCCGGAAAAACGAGAAAAACAATAAAAACGAATAAAACCTAATGCATGCAAACTAAAACAAATAAGCACAAAAATAACATGTTTTTCACCCCCAAACTTAAAATTTTCGTTGCCCTCAACGAAATTAGCACAAAGTTTAAGGATAGAAAACACCTGATTTAGTCGGAGTCGATGTGATCGGGGTGCTCCTCCCTAGCTCTCTCATGCTCCTCATCATCGGAAAGCTCTCTCGCTCCATCTTCATTCGGAATCGTCGATCGGCACGGGAGCTTGAGGCTTCGGGGTCGTCTCGGGCTTGAGGAGCGGCTTTGGAAGAGGAACCGTCGTTTTGGTGTCACTTTTCTTGCCTTTTCCTTTGCCTTTAGAAGATGAAGCTTCACTCGTGCGGCTTCTTTTGTTGGAAAAGAAAGTTGGGAGAGAGGTTGGAATAGATTCGGTAAGAATTGGTTGACAATCGAACTCAAAATTTGATTGGAGCAAATTATCGAACACCTTGTGGGCGTGCCTTGAAAGAGTAGATTTTGAAGATTTTGGTTCGATTCTCTTGCCTCCATTTGTGTGTGGGAGTTTGAGAGAAGGAATGAGGAGGGTTTAGGAAATAATGGGGGAGAAAATATGATTTTTAAACATTTAAAATGCCCCAAATAGGTTCTGACGGCCGTCCCGGTTTTTGTGCTAAATTTCGAACGGCCGTCCGAAATTTTTTCTCCTTACTGGTTGTGGGACGGGGGTCCCACATTTACACCTATTTGTGGGACGGCCGTCCCACAGGCAGTGGTGCAATTTTTTTTTTTTTTTTTTTTTTTTTTTTTTTCGGACGGCCGACTCGACCCTCGATCACGTTTTCGACCCTGAAAAGTAAAATTCAAATAGTGAATTAGAATGCATGCTTATGACAATAAAAAAAAACGAAACGAAAAAATTAACGAAAACTACGAAAAACAATAAAGCTCGGGTTGCCTCCCGAGAAGCGCTAAGTTTAAAGTCTTCAGCCAGACTTTGCTTCTTGAAATCGCTATGTCCAATCCAAAGCCTTGTAGATTGCGCACCCATCCATGAGCTTTGTCACTTCAATTGCAACCGATACAGGGATAGGATTGCAATATGTCAGGGTCCACTTTAGCTTGTAAATTTTCTTGGTTGTAATCAATCGGTACGAAGCCAAGATGGGGTCTTCATCACCCGCTCCCTCAAATCGGTATACAAAAACCTCACGTCCGCGTATAACCTCCACTTCAAACACATTCGTCTTCTTATCAACCTCTATTGATGCCTTCAAAGCCACGTCAGGAATAACAATAAGATCATCAATTTGAATATTTGCACTAACCACATCCATCTCCTTCTTCTCTTGTTCCGAGACATCTTCGGAGTTGAGCTCGATTTCATTGTCTGATTCATCATCTTCAAGTGTCTTCGTAATTTCTTTTTCCCTCTCATCGACACTATTTTCTAGGTCTAAAGGATTTTTCTCATCACAAGTTTCAGACGGATTTTCTTTGTTGCAACCATTCTCGACATTGTCTGAAATATTTTCAAGAGACCTCTTGAGCTTCATCTCTTCCAACATTATTTCAAGTCTTCGGATAGATGCTTGAGTGGATTTCATAAAATCTTCAAGGATGGATTTCCTATAACACTCCTCAATAGTGGGTTCTCGTGGCTTTGCATAATAGGTTTGAAAATCATCAAATTGCGGCTCACGATGTTGAAAATTGTGGAAATCTTGGCTTGAATTGCTCTGCTCGTACGTGTTGGTGTATGTGTTCCAGTAACCGCCGTTGGTGTTATCTATGAAATTATTCGCTTTCGGTGCATACCAACATTGGTTAGTGTAATGATCTCCACCACATCTTGAACAAAGTAACGGCATATTATAGGTATTTTGGAGGTATTCGCCAGACGGAAGCCATTCATATCCCGTTTGAGTTTCGCAAAAATTGTAACCTGACATGTAACCAAAGAAAAGAGAAAAAAAAATATTAAAAAAAAATTAATTCGGGTGAATCGTGAAAATTGTTCAAATTTAGAGCTAGAATAAAATAAATAATTAAAATATTCCCCGGCAACGGCGCCAAAAACTTGTTGGTCGAAAACCTACACGCAAGTGCACGTATCGTACAAGTAATATAGTGGACTAAAAGTCCGGATATCGAACCCACAGGGAATATTTAATTATCTAATCCTAGACGCTAAATTCTACCAATTATTATCAAGCCCACCCTACACAGTCGAAAAAGGATTAATAAACCAAATTAAACTAAAGCAATTAAAAACACAAAAACAAGAAAGCAATTAAAAATACGAAGATTAATCAGAGTAAACGAGCCTAGGATTTTATTCTTCCCCCTATGTGATTATTACTCCCCCAATTCTTTCAATTATGCAAGCAATTAACCCGGATTATTAACCTGAGATGCTAAAATAATCATAACCCGCTTCCGCGTGTATTACAATTCTAATACTCTAGATTCAATTACTATATTCCTATGCAATTAATTCTAGAACAAAGCATTAAGCACAAATCTCAATAATGGCTACCCAAGAGATTAACTATATTCCTATGTTAATACCACAAAGGCTCTTCTACCACAGTTCTAATTATTAACCCGATCTTCCGATTCATGCGATTAACAATAACATAAAAGCGCATAAAGTGGCCAGTTTCATGTACTTAATAAAACAAGTAGAAGAAATAATCCGGAATTAAAACTTGCATAAAATCATAGAAAAGGGTTCATAAATCCCACATAGGGTTCCAAATAAAATCCTAGAAATAAGAAATTTAGCTACTCGTAGTTCTTATGATAAAGAAAATAAAATAAATAAATTAAATAAGAAAAACTATGCTTGAATCTTCGTTGATCTTCCTTGCTCTTGAATTTGCGTAAAAAGATTGATCCCCAATTGTGTGCTTGGCTTGGTCTTATATAGGGTGAAAAACTTGAGGAAGAAGGCAGTTTCCTTGTGCAATTAAAATCCCTTTACTGCGCAACTTCGGGGTATGGGACGGGGGTCCCATAATTTGCCCTAAAACTGGGACGGGGGTCCGAGCCTTGTTTCTTCAGAATTTTGATATTTTCACTTTTGACCCATATTTTCGCCAAAATTGCAGTTTTGACCCCATACTTTTCCAATTCTTCAATTTGTACCTAAAATACAATAAATCAACTTTTTAAGCACCAATTATCGTTAAAACACACCAAAAGCTCAAATAAAAAGTTACGATAAAGTGTAAAAATATACACTTAACATCTATACATTCTGGAACGTTGTTTACAGCATGTAAAGAACTAATACCAGCGCACGAACACCAATGCTTAAATAAAAACGACGAAGAATGGAACAAGCTGATCATGGAAAAGGGTTCTGCTTTACTGAGTGTAAGACTGAAAATCTGTTTTGAAATTGTGATTTCTTTCGGGATGATTTTCGTTTTAGTCGGGTGCTGAATTTTTGTTCTCATAGGTACTGAATGAAGTGGACTTTGAACTTCACGTTCAGGAGCCTTTCTTTTCTCAGCTCGATGGTATTCGTTTTCTGGGTTTTGGGTTATTTTGTATTTTCTAATATATTTTGTATCTGGTTAAGGGAATTTTTTTATTCTTTTTGTGCAGACGGACTCAAAACAGTTGAAGGAAGGTGTGCTATGGGTAACTACAAGAGGTATAACACATAATGACAATGAATATATAATAAATAATTGTGAAGCTAAATAATTGTGAACATGCGAAACCCCCAAGAATGTCACAATTTAACATTTATTCTAGAATATTCTTTCTTGTTTATACGAACCGAGTGGATCGAACAAAAAAAAAAGAAGAAGATTATTTTTCACATTTCATTTCATCAACTCTAACAAAAAAATTGTTATTATTTTTTGTCAAAACCTGTCTAAGCTACTTGTTGTTTAATTGTTTATGCTTAATAGTTTGACGGAAAGGTTTAGTATTACGTTTTGGGTTTTAGGATGAGCGTTAACTTTTTGAAATGAAAAAAACAAAATCAGAAATTTGTCGTACATGGATCCTGCTTCAATACTACCGGAAAATTATGTTAGTCTTTGGTCATCTTTGAGATCTTTTACGTCTTGCAACTAGGAATTCCACATAACCAAAAAGAAAAATCCTTCACTAAATAGTTCAGGAAATTAAAATCATGTTTCAGAGCTTTTTTCGTTTTTGTGAGAATTTTCTAAACTTCTATATTTTTATGCCTTGTGGGTATGTCGTGTCTTATCGGGTGGTAGAATCCAATCTGGACATTTACTTCTCTTCAACAAGTGTTTGATTCTTGAAGTTCAGGTATGTTCCATTGCAGTTTCTTTATGTAATCTCGATGAGTCGTCCCTTACTAAAAGCTTCACCGTTTTTAGGATGTGAGACATTATGCTTCGTTTCACGAGATGTTGAAAATGGAGTCCCTTGCAAAAGTTCTTCCTGGAGTACCAAGCATTGAAGAAGGTACTTGTGGTAGTGTATATAGTTTCTAGAGTAGTGTATATAGTTTAATCTCATATTGCATTTGTGCTTCTCGTGTTAATTTCTTCTTCTTCTTCTTCTTCTTCTCTTAGGGTGCATTTGGATGGAAGGATTTGGGGAAGGGATTTCAAATCCATAATAACAAATCCCTTGGACTTGTTTGGATTGAGGGATTTGAGGATGGATTTCAAATCCACACCCCTCCTTTTTAGTTATGTTTTGAGCAATTGAGGTGGATTTCAAATGACTCCAAAATTGGAGTCATTTCAAATCCCTTCCCCAAATCAAATCCTTCCCCAAATCCTTCCATCCAAACGCACTCTTATATACTTCACTGCTGTCGAACTTCTCAAGAAATCGCACATCTTACCTTCAACTTTTTCCTTCAATTAATTTAATTTCAATCTTATTTCAACTAAATGTTCCATCTTTTTCATTGTATACAAATAGATCCTTCTTCTAACATTTACATTTACAGCATTTATAATCGTTGTTCGTTTTCTTTAAGGTGTCCAGATCTATAGAAATTTCTACTCGGAAGAAAAAGAAAGGTTGAATGGTGTTACTGCTATATGTGTTAAAAAAACCGACTTCCCAGCTTTATGTTATTATGGCCTCAATACTTTCGGTTAGTTTCTTGATTCTGAAGCTGACGTGGCATTCGTGTTTTCCCATTTATACTTGTGGTTGCAATTCCCGACTTTGAACAAGTCAAAATACTTTTTTTTGTTGCTATTTATGGGTTGTTTTGGTTGGATTTTGTTGTAGGGATTGAGCTGCAGCGGAGTTCAGAAGCTTCTAGGGTTTGTAGAGACTATCGGAACAAATCCAGAATCACTTCCTCCCACAACATCAACTCTGCTTTCAACATTTTTGGCTACGCATAATCGTCATGTATGTATGACTACGGAATTTCACTTTACGCGTTACTCATTATTTAACCAAATCAATTTAACATAACTGGGAAAATATCTATATATTCTTGGTAAGTGACGCTGCATAACTTATGTATTCACACTCTTGTTTGGTTTGAGGTAAAAGGTTCGACTCTGACAAACGGTGCGAGGGCTCTATCAAAGCATATCAACAGAAGCAGTCAAGGGTACTGGGGTGCCTTAAATGGGAACGGTCAGCTTCCTCATATCAAAATAAAATAAAAAACCAAGAAAAACAATTAATATCTATATAGAGAATTGTGTTCTAAGTATTGTTGGCTTAAAATACAAAACGTGAATTTTCTAATTGTCGCCTTTTTCTCGCTTTAAGTCTCTATTTTTTTTCATTTCTTCGTATGTTCTTTCTAATTATTAAATTTTAATCATGGTTTTTGAATCAATTTTTTGTAGTTTAAAGTTTTGCTTCAAAAGAATGCTAAAGCAGTGATAGTTTTAACTTTTAAGTAATATCTTATGGGCAAATTACGGCCACCCACGAGATAAGGTCAAATTACGAAAAAAAAACCTCTTGTTTGGGTAATTACAAACACCCCTCAATTATGTATTGTCTTACACGTCCACCCTTACGTTGTCAAATTTACCTACTAAATGAGGGGTTTTTTCGTAAGACAACATAGTTGAGGATGGTTGTAGTTACCCAAACAAGAGGGGTTTTTCATAATTTGGTCTTATCCCAGGGGATGACCTTAAGTTGCCCAATATCTTATTGATGATTTATGCATTTTTGTCCTCATTCTCTTGTTTTAACTTTTTTATCAAGATTTCTCACAATTTAATTTTCTTCTCAAAACTTATTTTAATTGATTAGTAAATCTTTAGTAGTTTAATAAGGCATTTATTAAAAAAAAAGGTATTAATAACAAAAAATAAAATAAAACTAAATGTGTCAAAGAAAAACCCTTTTTTTTTGAAAAATAATTTGAGGGTATTTGCTTGTAGATTATGAGAAAAATAGACAAGCTGTGGAAGTCATAAATCGGGTAATGAGTGAGTGTATATGGATGAACATGCATACTGTTCAACCCCATGGATGCATCTTCGAGATCAGGACTCGTGATGGTTATGGTGCCCGTTGGTCCGGAGATGGAATCAAGGTACACATTTATATGCACCGACTATAAGTAGCTTCCTTCTTTCAATTATTATTATCATACGCATTTAAAAATTTAAGCGTAAATTGCTTGCTAATAAAGTGTTATTGTTATGCAGTTTATAGGATTTCTCGAGCCATATGAGGTGGACGGGCACTCCAAAGGCTGGAAACATTAGTAACACTTAACTCGTTCTTTGAGCTATATATACTTAAGCTAATTTGAACCATTCTATAAATTTCTCGTTTTTTATAAAGTAGAAGTATCTAAGCCTAAACAAGTAAAAATTTGACTCAAGACCATTGATTGCATCTTCATTGGGTATGCAAACAATAGTAAGTGAAGGGATGATCATAGAATCAAGGAATGCTCTTTTCTTTAAAGAAATCTTCCCTTGTAAAGAAAGGAAAGAAACGAATTTCTCAAAACGTATATATTTGATGGGTCCACGTCCAAAGGCCCATATCGACAAGCCCATAGAGGCACACAAACCAAGCCAAAATTGACTAAAGATAATAATACAAGCCCAAGTCGGCTAAGGCCCAAATTGGCATGATCTAAACAAGCCCAAGTCAACCCATATTAAGTGGCTTAGGCCCATGAGAATATATATCTCCATATAAATACTAGAAAACCTCACAATTAAAGGTACGCAATTCATAACTCCCTAGCAGTTTCTTGAATTCTCTAAATTCTTCTATCATACAAAACAGGGGAAAATTACAGTTTATGTCCCTAAACTTTACCACTAAAACGATTTATGTCCACAAACATTTCAATCCACAAAATATGTCCTCAAACTTGCCACTTTTGATCACTTTATGTTCTGCCGTTAACGTCGGTAGCTAACTTCGACGTAAATAGCACGCGTGGCTCACGCGACGTCTATGTGGCCGTTAAATGTAACGTGGAATAATATATTGAATATTAAATGTTGACGTGGCACAAGAATATACTAATTTCCTCTAACTCACTCTCCTAAATCCCAAATCCCAAATCGCGTTTAATTCCCCATACACCATAATTTTCCCACACTTCACAATTTCAATCACCTCAACCCATTCCCAAATTTTCAATCCAATTTGCATTCTTGCTCGAACCCATATTAAAATCGAAGTCATAAACCCATAAAAAATCCAAACATTCTCACATTTGAAGAGTATTTTCCTTCTCAAAGGTCAGCAGATTCACATGCAAACACATGCCTTCAATCGAGAGGAAGAAGGTTAACGCGACTCCTCTTCTGGTTCTGAAAAAGATTTTAGAGGAAGCTTTAATTCTTCTCCCAACTCCGTCTCTAGAACGTTGGGGTCGTGTGATTCTTCGCCTGTTGATGCTTGTGCCCCTTGTGGTCTCGATGAAGCAAGCACAAGGATGGTAAAGATGGCATAAATTCTACCCAACTCAGCAGATTCAGAACCTGCCCAGAAGGTGTTCGACAAAATGTCTGAAACAATTCCGAAAAAAAAAACATGCAGCACCTGTCAAAGCTGCATATAATTCTTTTTTCGCCAAGAATAGAGTGCCCAAGAACGGATTCCAGCTCCCCAACTTCCCCAACGAAGTGGAAGAAGACATGATATTTCAACCCGAAGATGAAAGTGAAATCGATGAAACATTCGGCATTTGTTTATTGGGCTATTTTGCTGGTAAAACACCACGAAAAATGGCCATGGATTCACAAACGATTCTGCTATTTTCGAATTTCACCTCAATTGAAGGATTCGAAATGGGTTTTAGGGTGATTTACGGGTTCATTGGGGATATGGAGAATTAGGGATTTTAGAATAGAAATAGGGGAGGAGAATGACGTGTCGCTCCACATTACGTTTCGTTGACCAAGTAGGCACTGGGTGTTGTACAGCTCGACATTTAACGGCCACATAGACGTCACGTGAGCCACGCATGCTATTTCCGTCGAAGTTAGCTGTCGACGTTAACGGCAGAACATAAAGTGATCAAAAGTAGCAAGTTTGAGGACATATTTCGTGGATTGAAATGTTTGAGGACATAAATCGTTTTAGTGGTAAAGTTTAAGGACATAAACTGTAAAATTCCCTACAAAACAGACTTGAGCGTCGGAGGATTTTCGCCGGGACCAATCCCGGCGCCCTAACGACTTTTTGTGATGCAGGTAGTGCCTACGCGAGGAATCAAGAAGTGTGAGGGAAGAATTGCAAAACGTGCCGTGGAATCGTACCACATCAATATTAAAAAAAAAACAAAAAAAAAACCAAATGAGCTCATTTACACCACTAAGCTATGCTGTACAGACACTTCTAGAAGGTGAAGAGGCCCCGTATCCGACACCTAGACACTCGTACACGCCCGGACACGGCTCGGACACCCGTGTCGGGCCCTGTCGTAATTCTGCAAAAAGTAAAGGACACCTGTGTCAGGCAGTGTCGGCAATTTTAGAAAAGTTGGGACACGGCTCTTATATTTTAAGAGAAAGGTCTAATAAAAAAAACCCATTTTATTTTCTCTCTAATACCACATTCTTTGTCTTCTTTGAGAGTCCACTCAAAAGTCCAAAATTCTAGCAGCGACGACGAGTGGCGACCAAGAACACGATGAGCGGTTCTCTTATGCGATTTGACGACTTATAAATATTTTTTTACAATTTATATATGTCCTCCTATATTTTTAGGCCCTGTTTGGATGTTGAGATTAGCCAACATTAACTAAATAGTATGGGTTAGTTTGATGTTTGGTTTGTCCTACTTTTTTCCGGGTAGACCCGCTAAAATGATTTTGTCACGTCTAATTGGGAGATAACTTATTGAACCTTGAGAGGTTCAATAAAATTATTGTGCCATCATTAGATACATTAATGACAAAATTGTCCTTTCTAGTTTTCATCAATTTATCACATTGACATATTCAATTAAAAATATTCAAATAAAAACAATTGGAAAAAACTAATAAATAAATATTTTTTCCAAAAAATAAGAAAAAAATGAAAAAATATATTTTTCGGAAAAAAAAAAGAAAATAAAAAAAAAATTTAAAAAAAATGGAAAAAATAAAAAAAAATATTTGTCTGAAATAAAAAATAAAAAATATTTTTTTCGAAAAAAAAAATTAAAAAAATTATTTGTTCAAAAAAAAGAAAATTCGAAAAAAACAATCGAAAAATACAAAAAAATAAATAAATAAAATATAGTTTTTTCGCAAAAAAAAAAATCGAATCAAAACAAATAATATAAATATTAAAAAGAAGAACAAAAACTATGTACAATAAGAAAGGGTAATTCGGTTATTTGTAAGTAATTGGGTTGATTTTAAAGAAACCAAACATCAAACACTTTTAAATAATGGGAAGATAAAAAATTCAAGATTTGATAATAAACATCTGATCTGATAAAATAATAGGGCTATTATTTTATAGGGGAAATTATCTTATCTTAGTTAATCTTAGCTTGGCAACCAAACGAGACCTTAGCGTATATCCGTATCACCGTGTCTGTGTATTCATGTCCGTGCAGCATAGCGGCTAAGTATAAAGAAAGACATATAGCTAGGTTCAAACTCCTACTACGTTAATACAAAGGACTCTATTTTAGCATACAAAACATAGAATCAATCTTAAATATTATAAATAGGACACAATATTACGTTCCAACTCACACACAATTTATTATTATGTTTCTTAATAATAATAATGGATCATCAGCAACAACCTAGTCAAGCCAACTTCGCCGGAGATCGCATTCTCGGCCGTGTTGCCACCACAGTCGCCGGTGGCCATATTCTTCTTCCTTATTCCCCCTTTGTTCCTCTAGCATACCACTACTTATCCAACAACGATCAACATCCAAGAATTGTTCAACTAGACGATCGGACGACGGCGATCGATAATAATAATAGTAGCGATGGTTTGTCCGAAGATCAGATCGCAAAGTGTCTGAAAATGTTCGACACGGCCCGGAAGAGAGGGAAGTTTGTGCGGTTTGTTTGGAAGCTTTGTGCCAAGAAAATAATAATATCGGAGTTCTCGAATGCAAGTATGAATATCATTCCGATTGCATCAGAAAGTGACTGCGCGTGAAGAACTTTTGTCCGATGTGTAAATCGGCCGTACGTGTTCAATTAATGTTGTTTATTTGAATTATGTTGTTTAATTTATAGCAATTAATTATTTGAAGTTTTTGATATAATAATAAATATCAATGTGTATATATATATATATGTATCTATCTGTATTTCTATATATATATATATATATATATATATATATATATATATATATATATATATATATATATATATAAAGTAGTTGAGATCGAGTAAGCTGGGAGAGCAAAGTGGATCACTGCTCACGTGCTAGATGGCCCTGAGATACCTGCGAACAAAGAACACGTGAACTAAGCCGGGGGCTGATCTGGCGGAAACCCCTCCGGCGCTCAAGTCAGACGTGCGGATAGTCGGTAATTTTAGAGAGAATTTGAATGGAAGAATTGATTGAATAATAATAGCGTACCTTAATTAAATGAACTTAAGTTATATTTATACTTTATTGATTGGGCCAAGATCAATTTATCGAGCCCAACCTTATTTGGATGTGATTGGACCTCCGTAGAAATAGCTATTAAATTAGGCATGTGGCCCAGTAAATATGGGTCTATTGGGCTGGGCCAATAGGCATATCATATATATATATATATATATATATATATATATATATATATATATATATATATATATATATATATATATATATATATATATATATATATATATATATATATATATATATATATATATATATATATATATATATATATATATATATATATATATATAAGGGGATTTCTCTTTGTTAAATTACTAGTATTTCACCCGTGCATTGCACGGATGTCTATTTCAAAATGGGAAAAATAAACTTATGTAAACCACTATTTTGGCGTTTCGAGGTCGTTTAGGCCTTCAAAACAACGTTTTTGCTATTTTAGGAAAGTTTTAAATAATCCATAATTAATTCTACAAAAATCGGATTTGAATTCCGCAAGTTGGGTTGTTTCCAACTTTCGGTATTCTATTAGGTTTATGAGTTATTTCGTTTTTTTGCCGTTTTTGGTAATTTTCTCGTTTTCCTAGTTTGATTAGGTTTTTCGTTTTCTTTAGTATAAATAGTTGCTCTAGGGTTTATTTTTCAGCATCTTTCATTATTAATAAAATTTTTGAGTTTTCT